AAAATAGTCCATGCGCTTGGTAACGGGATCGACTTCGCATACGGGCGTACCCCAGTGGATACCCATGCGAACCGAGAGACCTCGGAAGATGACATTACCATCGGGATCAACAACCTCTTGTCCGTTGACGCTATTGAGAATCTCCTGCGGCCACTGCACTTCAAGCAATTGGCTCTGTATGGTGAAGCACCATAGCAACGCTGATGTGACAGTACGGAAAGCGACCATGAAAGCATCACCTTCCGTCTTGACCTCATAGCCGCCAATTATACGTAGCTGGCGACGCATGAGCTCGTTGTGCATCTTGATCGCAGAGCGCATTGCAATCGGGTACGTTTCCCAGAGTATTGTCGAGTTCTTGATGTCAGTGAATACCAAGCTGACTTCACCCGTTGGCGCGTCCACTTCGTTGTCGAGTCGAGCTAATTTAGAGTCACCAACCAGATTGCCCTTCTTTCCACGTCTGCGAGATGCGCCCCAGTCTGGGTCGGCACCAGGAGCAGGCACCAAAGACATGCTCTGAGTGCGATATCGAGCACGCTGTTTGCTCTTGAGATCGCTGACCCCAAGCAGCATCACCATGATCTTGTTTGTAGCACCAAATGCGATGGCGAGGTCGCGAAGTTTCTGTGCGGCCCGCATGAGATCGTTTCGCTCAGATCGGGCGACATCGACCGCAAAATCCGGGGTAAGGTATTCCCAAAGCTCTCGGGACGCCACCAATACCATTTCATCTGTATCACCCAGTGTGAGGTTGAGTATGTGAGGTGAGGCAATGACGGAGGGTGACATCTGCACGTATCCAAACGCCCTAGACACCTCGAGTATGTCGTTGAGTTTACCTTGTCGTGACACAAAACCGCCAGCCTCGCGTATTCTTGACCTCTCACTTGGCTCGGCAGGGTCGTGTTTTCGGGTAAGGATCTTGTGTCCTCCTTCTGATCGGATAAGCAGTGCTTGTGCATCACCCACATTCGATATGTAAAGCTCCATCTCTTTCAGGAATAAAACCGTGGCTACGCTTCCGGAAGTTAGGTCGTCGTCACCAAGTTCGGGCACTGAGCTGCGTGGTTGAGTGGGTGCAGTGAAAGCGTTCTTGTCGATGCCCTGATTTGCAGCGGTAGCCAATTCCTTGTTGAGGCCCAAGTAAGTGCGCCTTAGCGCGTCCGAAGGTGTTTCCTGCGGGCGCAAACGCTCGAGCTCGTCGGCGAATCGGTTCTTGAAGTGATCGTACAAATACTTGGCAATCTTGGATCCGCCTCCCGCAAGTGGCTGCGCGTCAAACAACCCCAGCAGCTGCTCGTCGTCGTGGCTACGGAAGCGGGGAACGACCATATCCATTGTTGAAATGTGTTCATTGCGGCCGAGTGAATCTGCCATACCGTAGGCCATGGTGCCGACAGCCGAGCCTGCAGTGCGCACTCTCCGGTCTTCTGACTGTTCGGGTACTGACGGCACCATCATCGTTACGTCCATCAGACCCAAGACCCGCAGATTGATCAAAGAGCTAAAGTCCGTGAGATCGCGGCCTTCTCGCATATTCACGCCACTGCCACTATACGACCCGCTGGGCTTGATTTCTAGACGCTTGTTTCCAGACAAATTCAGGTACCGGAGTTTGTGGTTCCAGTTCCAGTTCCAATCGTACGGCCAATTCGAAACATTGTACTTGAGAGAATTACTAGCGACATCGAGAACGGCTAGTTGAGCAACCTTACCAAGTTCAGCAGGCAGAACTTGGAACTTGTTGTTGTTAATATGGAGCACTTTGAGGGAGCCAACCTCCTCAAGATCTTCCGATGGCAACGATGTTAGGTCGTTACCAGAAAGGTACAGTTCGGTCAGATGTTGCCATCTACGGATTGTACGAGGTGGTACATCATAGATGAGATTATAGGCCAGGTTCACGATTCGCAACTCAGGTAATAGACACAATTCGTCGAACACATCATCGGTAAGCCGATTGTCGGCTAGGAACACGTGACGAAGCGAGCCCGCAAAAGTCGTCACCAAGCGGCTACTAAGGCTGGAGTCTTTGCGGGACATGGGCGTCACTGTGCCTTCAGTAGGCGCACGAGATGCGACCGATGGCTTGCGGACGGTACTCGTCGTGTTGTAAGAAGCCATGGAACCCTTCCGGTTCGACGGAGCAGGCGAGGTACCGACGCTAAGACCCCCGGAGGCCTGACTTGGCCGGCGATTCTGGAAGTCTTCCAGCTTCCCCAGCTCCTCGTAGCTGGGACTCGACGTCAGCCCTGGCGTAGGACCGTCAACTTGAGCCTGCTCTCCATTGGCTACTTGTGGGGGTGCGGTGCCTGGTTTAGGGAATGCGTCGAGAACGTTTGATGATACATTGAGCGTTTCCAATCGTCGTGCATACCAGAGTTCTTGAGGAAGCACGGCGAGGTTGTTCTCACGCACATCCAGATATTTGAGCTCTACAAGTCGGCCAATCTCTGCAGGTAGCACGTCCAAAGAATTTCGAGCTATACTCAAATGCTCCAACCTGTAAAGTTTCCCGACATTGTTCGATATTGATGTGAAATGATTTTTGTCAAGTATTAGCTTTGTAAGGCCAGTAAGCTTTCCGAACAGGTCCTCGGGCAATTGAGCAAGTTTGGCGGAGGCAAGGTTGAGGACAGACAACGACGGTGTTGGTTGGGTGAGGCCAAATCTTGTGACTGGATTGTGGTTCATGTGTAGTACCCTGATCTTGGGAAAGTAGCCTTCAAATGCCGAGATGGAATTGTGGCCAATCATCAGGTATTCTAGTCGTGGTAATTGGGACATGACGTCCATGCTATCGAGTGCATTAAATCGCACGTCAATTTCCCGTAGGTTTACGAGGTTGCTCAGCGTTGGCGGAAAGCTCCCGGTTAGTTTGTTATTGGTCGCCCAAAGTCTCTCCAAACACGTCAATTGGCCTATCCTAGGCAAGCTGGATATCGAGTTGAAACTGATGTCGAGATCTACTAGTGTCCGGACCTCACAAAGGAAATCAGGAAACTCGTGCAAGGAGTTGGAGCTCAGGTTCAGACTACGAAGGGCGCGGTATTGTCCGAAATAAGGTGGGAGCCTCGTCAACCCGTTGTTTGAAAGCCGCAGACCTTGAAGACTTTGCAACTTGTATAACTCGGCACGATCAAGCGACTGGAGACGGTTGTTCGATATGTCGAGCATGGTTAGGCGGCTTGCCAGACTGAGACTAGGGGGTAATCGCCTTGCATCGTTGCTGGTATATTTGATCTCGCGCAGGTTGGTGCAGGCGAGGATGAAATCTCTGGGTACGTCCAACGACAGGTTCCGGGACAAGTTGAGCGATATAATCTCCGTTGCTTTTTGGTATAGCGTGATGGGAATGGTAATCAAGTTCCGGCCTTGGAGATCGATATGGCTAAACTTTTGCATCTTGCTAAACCCGGGGTCTCGCTCTAAACTTGAGTATCCGCTCATCTTGGCGGGAAGGAAGGTAAATCTGCAGAGGTAGCTGTTATCCTCTCGGCCCACATCTTCCAGACGGTCCATATCCGTATATCCGGCGAGTTCTAGAAGTCGCTTTTGGATCAACAGCGGACGCTCGTTGTTTTCCAGTTGCCGAGAAGTGTCATGCTTGCGCATTACGATGTGGTAGTTGTCGAGTTCGTCCTGCAGTACAGTCTTCTTACCTAATATCTGGATGATCTCTTGTACGGTGGTGTTCAAGGTAGCTGACAGTGTCGCAAATGTCGAATCGACTCTGAAGATGCGCAAACAATACGTTTTACTGTCACTCTCTTCCTTGGAAGGCGTTCCGGTATCCTCGACGTCGCGCACCTTGTCCATTTCGTCCTTCATGCGTTTTACAGCCCAGGAGTCTGGTGCATCCCATGCTGCCGTGCCATCGTCTTCCGGTCCAGGCGCAGCAATCTCCTCGCCCACTGTTGGTTGCTTCAACAACTCCCCCACGGGTGGTGTCATGGGCGGTTGCTGCTGCAGATTGACGATACCTTCCATGTCGTCCAAATTGCTGTCTAGGAAGAAGACGGCGTCGTTGCCGGCAGTGCTGGCAATGTTGTCATTGGGGTCCCGTCCCGTTGGCTCGTTCGCAGGTGCCCGTTTGTCCTTCCTAAAAGTAGGCAGACGATGGTGAGGCGCTCTCGCCTTGGCTGGCAAGCGCTCGTCCACGCCATTTGTACTCGGCTGCCGCTTTGCCATGGCGACGGCTTGCGGAGACGGCTCTACCCTCGCGGACCGTGCTGTGCTGATGGAGGGGTTCAGAGAAGTAGTCGAGGCCGTTCCCACTGAGCTCAGGCTCTTGAGATTGTCGTTTGGTGCTACACGGTCAGACTTTTCCTTGTCCTTGCCGCGTAAGCGTGCAAAGAAGCCGTGGGATGGCTTGCTGGTGCTGGGTGATCGCTGGGCTATCCTGTCCTCTCTGGGCATATCCGAAAAGGAACTGGGCGTCGGGCTCGAGGGACGACCCAGAAGGCTCGTCTTGGAGGTAAAGGCAGAGCTGAGGGCCGAGGGCTGGTTCGGGCGGGGGTTTTGCGGTACGTCGTCGCGGCTGGTGGTCGGCCGCAGTGTGTAGGACTGGCTGATGTCTGAGCGTGAATCTGGTGCCTTGTTCTCTTCCTTGCTGCTCCTGTGGCGATGGCCAGTTGTGCCCGGCAGCCTTACATGCAGCTTGTGATGTGAGCGGCCTGACTTGGCTGAATGTTGCTCGGATGAGCGACGTCCTCCATACTCGCCCGGCGTGGGAAATTCCTGCGAGAGGTTAGCAATGCAAGGCCCCGCAATGGGCGCAGGGTAGTGTAGGGTGTACGGGGGAGGGCAGTTGCGGGTGCAACGGCTCAAGACTCACCTTGGAGTCTTGGAACTCCCAGGGCGTGACTTCGGACGAGGCCTGGGGAGTGCGTGGACGCGAATTGGTAGGCGACACGGGACGGGACTGGTGGCTGCTGCCTATGGTGTTGTTGAGTGAATTGCCCCGGTTGCGCATGGGGCGCTGGCTCTGGGCGTCGGGCGCATACGGCAGGCTCGTGTCGGAGTGCTGGCGACCGTCGGCGGGGAAGTCGTCACCGAAGATGTTCTGCAGCTTCTTGTGGAAGCCGCGACTGATGCTCGACTTTGAGCCCGTGCTGCTCACCGTCGTGGCACTCGCGACCGAGGGGCGGCGGTCGTCCTTGAGCGGGAAGCCCATGCTGTCTTCGCGACTGCCGCTCTGGGGGCGGAAGCCCGGCGAGGGCTGAGCCAGGTCCTCGTTGGAGTCGTTGAAGAAGCTACTCCAGACACTGTTGGCCATGGCGCCTCCGTTGGTCGTCGACCAGGGCGCCATGTGTGAATTGGCGCTCGAGGCCGTAGGTGGATTGCGCGATATCGACGGCACCCTGTTCCCCGAAGTCTCCAACACAGCCAGCTGTTTCCGGTGATCTCCGAAGGAAGTCGTCGTGGGGCCGTCCCAATTGGGCGGTCTCCGTGGGCGATGCGAGGCGTCTTTGGGCGGAGGAGCTGGAGGGACGGTGCCAGGCGATATCTCAGACTCCTTTTCGGCACTGCACGACATGTTAGCATGGCGACGGCGGCATCATCATCATCATCATCATCATCATCATCATCACCATCATCATCAGAGAGGCGGCGAGACAGGCCTGCGTCATGGGCCCATGGCTTTGATGGGCGCCGTGTCGAGGCTCTGCAACATGGCCAACCACCATGGGGGATGAGGGCGCGGCTCGCTGCATCAACTACATGTGCGGCGCGGCGCAAAGACGAGTGACGTACTTTGAATTGAGGCTCTTGTCCGTCTTGACCGTCACGGGCGTGCCCCTCAGCGATCCCGCGCGTCCATAGGGCCGTATCGTGTCGCCAGAGCGCGAGCTCCACGAGCTCTCCACCGAGCCATGGCGGCCCACGCTCTCGTTCTTGGTCATGGCGGGCGGCGGAGCGGCGGCGGTGGGGGCTGCTGCTGCTGCTGCTGGTTGTGGGCGTCGACGAGCCCGCGCAGCTGCTGCAACGACTCAGGCGGGGTCCAGTCGTGGGTTGGCTGCTTGCGCAGAAAGGCCTAGGACGGCTGCTTCATCGAGGCGGGACAGCAGCTGGAGGTGTGCGCATGGGCGGCGGGCAGGCGGGCAGGCGGGCAAGCAACGACAATGACAAGGACAGCGACGGCGTGGCAGACACAGAGAGACCGTCACGGTGCTATAGCTTGCTATGTGTGAATGCCGCGTCTTTGCTTCTGATGTGTTCGTCTTCACTACAACTCTCTCTTTCTCTCGCAGTCTACCCAATCTCTGGCTGGTGGTGGTGGTGGTGCATAGACATGGGCAAGCTCCACTCTGCATCGATGTATCGAGCCTGGAGAGCGGCATGCTCGCTTGTCCCGTCCTCAAGCAACGATGCGCCACCTGCACCCACCCTACCCCAAGACACTACCGCACCCTCCCGACCACCAGACCCACGCCCCGGAACTCTCGCCGCATGCAGTCCTACATGTCCCTAAACCGTGTCGTGTCTGGTCCGTATACCCGGCCTGGCCATGTACCTAAACAGACGACGTCTTGGACGTCGCACCACGCGACCCCGCCATCAAAGCCCCTTCTGCACCGCCATGGCTGTTTGAGAATGGCCATGACCATGATCACTGACAACCTCTCCCCTCTCTGCCCTCTTACCCCGGACCAAGTGACATGGCCCGACCTGAGATGACATGAGAGGACGTGGCATGACGACTGCATTTGGGGACGTGTCTGATCGCCCGACACCTAACCACAGTAGTTCCGGAGCAAGCAAATACTAACTTTGACGCCTGAGCTGCCTTACCACCACCGCCGTCACACTTTTCGTTTTGCAATTCTCCGACGTCTGGCCTCACCGACTGCCTCTGAATTTATACTTTTGCCCATTATTGATCCCCCTCGGCCCAATCACGCTGTCACTGCTATCAATTTACGGACACGGAACAACAAATCATTAACCTCTACGTCTGATTGACGGTCCACCTCATGCGTCTTTTGCCTTCCCAGGAACATTGTACTCTGCACACTCTGCACACACACACACTCTCTCTCTCTCTAATACACAGACACTTGTGCCATGCCTCATATTGAAACAACATAATCATACACCACTTTCCAAAACTATCAAAATCCCTAAAATCCACCTCGTGCCGAACGCGTAAACACAGAAAGTTGCACTTCCGGCGGCTTGGCATCCATCTACCGAGGCGCTCCGCCCCCCTGAAGAGCTCGCAAGATGTCTTGGAGAGACTGGGCACCCGCCTGTGCGTTGCCCTGTTGCTGACCATTTGCAGGTGGCGCTGGTGTCTGCGCATATGGCTGCTGATACGGGTAGGTGTACTGTGCTTGCGGCTGCTGCTGCTGCTGCTGCTGAGGCGCCAGTGATGGTGTAGGAGCTTGTGCTGCCATCTGAGGTTGCTGTGGTTGCCCACTCATGGCTCCGACCACCTGGAACCACTGTGCCCACGCTGCCCAGTTGGCCGCCTGGGTTTGCTGCTGTGGTGGCTGCGCCGGGGCTTGCGGCTGCGGAGTGTACGATGGTTGAGGTGGATATGATGTCGCTGCAGTTGGTGGTAGAGGATGTGGCGCCGCAGCATAGGGGACTGCTGGTTGCGCGGGAGTCGAGAAGGGTACTGGCCAGCCTGTGTTGCTGTTGTTAGTATAGGCATTAGCATTTGACGGTACAGACGGTCCAGGAGGCGCATTCTGTGGTTGCTGTTTCGGAGGCTGCTGCTGTTGCTGCTGCTGTTGCTGTTGCTGCTGCTGTTGCTGCTGCTGTTGCTGTTGCTGCTGCTGCTGCTGCTGCAGACGTTCTCGCTCTCGTTTCTCACGCTGCCGCTGCTTGCGGTTCTTGTTCTTGCCGCCTCCAGCTGGGGACTGCTGAGCTTGCGCCTGCTGAGACTGGCCGCGGTCTTGCTGAGTGTAGGACTGAGCGCGCTCCTGTTGCTGGCGAGCCGGCGATGCCGATGCTCCTGAACGGTTGTCTTGGTAGGGGCCGTTTCGCTGGTTGTTCTGCTGCTGGTTGAACTGGTCCTGCTGCCTGCCACGGTCATTCTGATTCTGGTTCTTGCCACCACGCCCTTTATCACCGCCGCCCTTGTCTCCGCGATTATTGCCGTGACCTCCTCTGTTGTTTTGCTGTGCCCCACGGTCACCGCGGCCTCCGCTAAAGTCGCCACGTGCACCACCAAAGCCTCCCCGGTCACCTCGACCACCACCTCCAAAGTCGCCACGACCGCCGGCACCTCGTCCACGGAACCCGCGTCCGCGATCACCCCATGGACCCCTGCCACGGCCCATGCCGCGTCGGACGTGACTACGGTCCTCGAGCGGCGCGCCTTGGCCGACAATCTGTTCAAAATGATCCGGTCGGGCAAGGGGCTTGTACATGCCCAGGTCTTCATCCTCGTCATCACTATACTTGAGGCCACCGCCCTGATATTCCATAGGTCGGTAGATGGGCGGTGCGGGTGCGTCGACATGTAGCCTGGGTCCAGTAGGGATATGGACAGCGGGCGGTTCGTCATCGCCGTCGGCCCTTGCGCGCTTCTTAGCCTTTTGCTCGCGCTTGTATTCGGCCTCCTTCTCGTCGTCTGAGAATTCGACGTCGTTGGTCTCCTCGTCATGCAGGTTGGAGGCGTCGGTATGCTTTTGGCGGCGGATGGGCTCTGTTTCGGTAAAGGTGGAGTGTTCGTCGACGTAGTAGATGGGCGTGCCTTTCTGTATGCCTAGTGTTACAAGTTCAGCGGCGTCATTGAAGCCAAACGAGTAGCGCGGCTCTTCCACGCGGCCAATCTGCTCAGAGACCTTGCCGACAACGACGCGGTCCTGCAGACAGAGTGCTGAGCCTGACTCAAGCACACGCTCGTCGCCAGACTGGTGGGCCTTGACCACGACGAGGTTTTGGACAATTGACTCGACAGTGCCAAGCTCGGTGATTTTGGTCGCCTCAGTGACGATAATGTCGGGCTTCTCATACTGCTCGTCGACCTCGTTGAGCGTCTTGACCTTGACGGGGCCGGTCGCGCCTGGCTCATCAGCCGCCTCGGCCATGAGTAGTCGCACCTGCTCCGCGGGGTCGAGCAGCTCGCCCTCATCAGAGCTGCTGTCATCGGAACTGGATGAGTCACTCGAGTCGTCCGAGTCGGAGGCATCAGAATCTAGCTGCCATTCGGCATTCTCGTCCCCCTTGTTGGCCTCTGCGGCGCGAAGGAAGTCGGCTTTGCTGTCAATGCCCTGCGTGTCTGCTTGGTTGTTTTGTTCATCTATGGCTGCAGTGAGTGCCGCATCCAGCTCGCCATCAGTGTCGGCCGCAGGGGTGTCGGTAGTAATAGGAACACCTTCATCTGCATCTGCATTCGTATCTGGCGCACTGGCAGACGTCGAGATACCGTCTTGTGGAGCCTGGTGCTGGGCCTGAGCCTGATTGGCTGCGACCGGCTCGACTGGCATCTCTGCCGCCGGCTTGCTCGACTGCGCATCATCGTAGAAGGCGTCTCCATCATCTGAGAGCTCACCGTCTTCGGGCGCTTCATCTGGCGTTACGGCGCGCTCGCGCTTCTGCGGTGGAGGCTGCGCGGCCGGGGCATCGCTCACAGAGCCGAGCCCAGGAAGATGAAAGGCTGGCGCGGGTGCAGCCGCAGCAAACATCGACGACGTCGTCGTGTTGCCCACTGCAGCCGGCAGCGCATCGACCTTGACGGGCGTAGTGTCGTAGAAATCGTCGTCCATGTCATCGACAGGCGAGCCAGGCGCATCGAGCGCAGATGCAAAGGCGCCATACTGTGTGGGAGCGTCCGCCTCCAACCGCGCCCTTTTGGCCGGCGGTTCCAGAGAGTCGGACATTTGCGTGTCTTTCTCTGCCCTGGGTCTGAAGCACGCGTGATCGCTGCGGTATCTCAACTGCGTCGTCTGCACCAGTTTGCTTAATGCGATGATTGAGTTCTGGTTTAGTTTAGGGAGAGGCTTTGAATGAGAACGTCGCCTTTTTCGACACGCGCTAAGTGCTTGGCGGGGCAGGCGCGAGCTCCATCCCTACCACTGCGAATTCCTAGCTCGTCATTCGTCATGACCTGCTAGTCACGGTGAAGGTCCCTTTTATACATGTAGTCCATGGAGGAGATTCAGCAGAGATAACAATACAGATACCTTTCCACATGTCTGCTACCCGCCAAAAGACGCATCCTCCTGTCGAGTGAGTATACACCACCTGTCCTAATCATATGCTCACAATTCAGTAATGCACCAGCACGGCCGCAACTCCCCCCAACCGCAGCTTTTTGCGTATTTGCCCTAGCCAACCTTATCGCCGCCGTCTTCTCCCCCATTCAAGATTGTGACGAAGTCTTCAACTACTGGGAACCGAGCCACTACCTCAACCATGGCTACGGCCTACAAACATGGGAGTACTCTCCCGAGTACGCAATCCGGAGTTGGGCATACACTGCTATCCACTCGCTCGTCATGTGGGCTGGCACGCTGCCCATTCAGCCCCTTGCTTTGCGCGCGTCCAAGGTCTTGGAGTTCTACTTCTTGCGCATGGTCCTGGCCGTCGCCTGTGCCGTGTGCCAGACCCGCATGTACTCTGCCATTCGCACCACGTTCCAAGAGCGCATAGCCATCTTCTTCATGATGATCATGGTGATTAGTCCGGGCATGTACCACGCTGCTCCTGCATACCTACCCTCAAGCTTCGCCATGTATTTCGCAATGCTCGGGTTTGCATCTTTCATGGACTGGTATGGAGGCTTGATCAGGACTGCCCAGGGAATTACTTGGTTTGCTGTTGGCAGTGCTCTGGGCTGGCCTTTTGCCGGTGCGCTTGCCCTGCCCTTCATTTTGGAGGACATCATCGTAGGCTTCATCACCAGCACTCTTCAGGAAAGCCTGCGACGGTTACTTCTCCAGGGCGCCACCCGAGCTTTTGCTATTCTGGCCCTGCAAACAGCCATCGACTCTTTCTTCTATAGAAAGCTCGTCTGTGTACCACTCAACATTGTGCTGTACAACGTCTTCAGTGGTGGGAGTAGAGGCCCCGATATTTATGGCGTAGAACCGTGGCATTTTTACGTGCGTAATCTCGCGCTCAACTTCAACATCTGGTTCTTCCTTGCCCTAGCTGCGCTACCGCTACTGCTTATCCAACATCTCATCTTTGACAAATCCGTCTCTAAACACACACTTAGGCGGTCCGTTGTCTTCGTCAGCCCTTTCTACTTGTGGTTGGCAATATTCACTGTGCAGCCTCACAAAGAGGAACGCTTCATGTACCCAGCCTACCCAGCGCTAGCCTGGAACGCAGCTCTCTCCTTGCACATCCTTCTAGCCAACTTTGGCTCCAGTGACCCACGACACCTGGTCAGCAAGATACCTCCCTCGCTAAAGCTTGTCATTGTTTGCGTTCCGCTGCTTCTCTCTTTCAACCTAGGCATGCTGAGAACAGTCGGTACGTTTCCACTCTGATCTGCCCTGCAAGTATCACGGATGAACCTGTAGATGTTGCAAAGCTGTTCCAATTACACGACTAATTGTTTTCACCAGGCCATATGACCGCCTACTCCGCACCCCTGACCATCTACCAACCTCTCCTACATTCAACAATTGCACATTCGGGAGCCAACGTATGCCTAGGAAAGGAATGGTACCGTTTTCCCTCATCCTTCAACCTCCCCCACGGCGTCCACGCCAAATTTATCAAAAGCGAATTTTCCGGCCTCCTTCCGGGTGAATTTAGCACCGCCATCGACACTACCGATGGTTTCTTCCCCAGTACACACGTCGTCCCGCCCGGTATGAATGACGAGAATCTTGAGGACGTGGGGAAATATGTAAGTTGAATGACTTAACACCACAACATACATTTGCTCTCTTTACTAATGTTGAGACAGATTGATGTCAAGCACTGCGACTTTCTGGTCGACTCACGGATCCCGGGACAGGAGCCAACCGTGCTGGAACCAGATTATGCGGCCGATACACAGCATTGGGAGACGATAAAGTGCATACCTTTTCTAGCGGCCGGACAAACAAGTATTCTTGGCAGAATGCTCTGGGTGCCTGATTCGCCGCTTATTCCGGCAAAATTAAGGCGGACATGGGGGGATTACTGTCTATTGAAGCAGAGGAAAACCGCAGGCGGTAAGGAAGATACTGCTTGAAAAACAATCGCAGTCGCGACATAAATGGGTGGTCAAGTTCCATTATAACACTGTTTACGTGTACCATGATCTAATTTCCCTTGCTCTTCATGTAAAAGAGAGACTTTACCAAGCTGTATCATACATCTACCAACTTACTCATAACAAAACTATTCTCGGTACGCATATCAAATGCCACAGCACCTCATCTCTCTCGTACATTTCTCACTCGGCGTTGTCCCATGTCAAAATCCGAACGCCCCCCTACACCAACACGTCCATAATCAATATCCAACCCATGCTCAACCTCCATCAGACCCATCCCTTCTCCGCATAACGCCCCAATCCAGTACCTCCACCTCCATCGTTCTTTCCAAAATTCACCGTCCCATGCACCCGGGCGCTTCTCGCCCCGCTAAACCAAGTAGGGTATATTTTTCCCCACCGCCCGCCCCGCGCACAAGTTACACGATCCTGACCAACCCCACCAACTGGTGCCGATAACAAACGCAGCAACAAGTCATCGCTTGAATCAGCATAATTGGGGAAGGTGGATGACATGTTGTGCAGATACGTATGTGTCACGTGGCGCAGATGAATCGACTGACGTTTTCCTATCGCTGTCGAGGATGGGGGTGATAAAAGCTGTTGCTCTTATCATGTCTTGCATGTATTTAGCTATTCCTTGGCCTTGAAAAGAAATCCTTCTCAATATTTTCACGGTTTGGTTCGGTTCTCGACTACGTACATGTGGCTACGATGATGATGTTATCTAAACTGTCTTCTTACGGAACCACTCTATCGCGTTCTGTACGGCAATCATGTCACGTCGCTCTGTCAAACGTCGGCGCTCTGCTTGAAGAGACAGATGTGAAACCAAAAGCTGCAGTGTATGCTGTACTTGTGTTTTTGACAACACTGTACCTTGTGCAGAAACTCGTATGGTATCTAACGCGAAGGAACGATGCAGCGGATGGTACAAGACCAGCGACACCAACGAATCTGGAAAAGAGGCCGTTTAAAGCTACAGAAAGGGAATTCGGAGGTAAGCGTTACCATGATAACTATTCCCCAACATCATTGCTTCACCTCTCCACGTGACCACCACTGACCACCATCACTAGTATGGCACCCCGTCCCCTTCACACGGCCCCGTGCAGCTCCATACCCCAACTGGAATCTGTACACCACGAAGCCGCTCCCCTACCGCCCCTTCCGCCACGGCCCCAAATACAACATCACCATGGGCCTACGCACCATGCACTGGGACGAGTGGATCGAACTCGACAACGAATATCTCTCGTACCACTCCCTCAAAGCCGCACGCATCGCTGCGAGGGGTGAGAAATGTATAAAGACGGATCCGAAAGCATGGGGTGCAGCGGTCGAACTACTAGAAGAGATGGCGGGGTATTTGAGTGAGAGGTATCCGAGTTTATTTTCTTTGGAAACAGCGATAACGGATACTGGAAAGGAGACCAGGTTACTGAAAAATCTCGCAACAAAAGAAGTGTTTGATATTGGGGCTTTGACAAGGAACGGAGTGAAGGAAGATCCGATGGCGCTTTGTGGTCGGCTGGTGCAGGATGATTTGGCGATTATGCTGGAAGGGGGAGACGGGCAGTATTATCTCCTCGCGGGCTCGATTTTATTGGCCGGGTTTTGGAAGTTGGAGGATAAGTTCGGCATGGGATTGAGTGAGATTCATACGAGTGGCGATGTTCCCGGGTATGTCGTTTTCTTGCTTTTGATTTCCCCTCACTCCCTACCGTGCTTTCATGTCTGTGGTTTCGGGGGTGATGGAGAAACCAAACGACCATTCTTTTGGTGGCGACGAGAAAACACTGACAACAGGCCAGGTTCAAACAAAAGCTAGAAAAGGGCATGGCAAACTTCTTCCGCCGAGTCCAACCTCAAGCTCCGGTCCTTCGCAACAACTACTTCATTCAAGTCGACGACAACCTCGCCTGGAGCGACAGCATAGGTCCCGAAGATGGAACAGACGTAGGCTGGTTCACCGCCGAAAAAAACAAGGCAATCGAGCACCATATGTTCCGAAGTGAGAGACAGAGTTTACGACGGTAAGTAAAACCACAAACCTTATGTGTGGCGTTTCCTGACGTACGTGTAGATTACCTCGATCTGGGGGTGTTGTTTTTACGATCAGGACATACTTTCACCCGGTAACGTCAATTGCGCAAGAGCCCTATGTACCGGGACGACTGGCTAGTGCAGTGCGATCTTGGGGTGACGACGTGAGCAAGTACAAGGGTAAAGAGATGTACGGCGACGTGTTGCTGGAGTACCTGGACAGGAAGCACGCGGAGCAGGTGGCGGCAGGCTTGGACATTGAGCGGGAGGAGGATGTTAGGGCTTATCCGTATTAGGAACGGAGAAGAGCATGCTTGTTTCCGGAAGGTTTTTTTGCGAGGCAGTATGTACAAATGTTTCCAATCTCTACGGCCTCGTTGGTGTTGCTGTATTTAGTTGCTTTGACTAGTCTGCCTTGTACATTTTTAGCTCGACGATTAGGTTTGAGAGTATGTACTGCTGCCTTGGGCATGAGAAGCCTTCGTATGAGATGCACCATGATCGGGTAAACAAGCTGTTCAATGTTTCAGTATACACTGGCCGTCTCCACATGGGATGAAACTCATTCGCTAAGAACTCTCTATCGCGTCTGCTGCTCTATTTGTCTGACGCCGCGATTGGGTAGGAGCAACGATAAACATCCCCGACGGCAGCCAAGGTTTGCGTTGTTTGAATGGTACAGTAGACGAAAAGAGTCAAGGTCAGCATCATTCGGTTCGCTGCTTCCCTGATGGTATTCGGGCCGGACCCCTCGAACGAACTCATAGCTCATAGCTCTATGCTCAAGGTAAATGTCGTATCGGCCTTTCTTCGGCCAGGCGCTCGAAATTCAAATGTTGTGCTTCGCCAGCGGCGGCGGCGGCGGACGGCCAGCGCCCCGGCTGTTGGAGACGCACACTTGCCGTCGACAGCACCTGCTCACGCACGTTGACGCAACAGATGACATCGTTCAGACTTAGGGGATACGGTTGGTGGGAGAGCTACTACATGGACGCTGACGTTGACAGCAAGTCGAACCATGGTTGATGTCGTGCAGTAGCTCAAGGTTTGATAATCGTCCAGGGTATGACCCTTGTGGTCTTGGTGCCTGATGCAGTAGCAGATAGCGGCCGACGTGAGCATTCGACGTGGTCGAGTCATGTCAGACGGTTGATGACTGCGGACAACGGGCGGCGGGCAGGGAGATTGCGACAGCCGTTTTCTTAAGGGTATGCCCCGGTTTCATAGCAGAGTGGCAGTAGGGATTTTGAAAATGTACCTGCAGCGGCAGTTGTCTCTCAGCCGCAGTGCAGCAGCAGCAGCAGCAGCATCTCGACCGATTCTCTACCCAGGTGCGCCATGGCATGCGTCGCGGAAGCGGAAATGAGTCCGCTTGGTGTTGTGAGCGACGCAAAGGGATTGTGATAACGAGTATTCGATGTTTTAGCGAGATGATAAGGGCGGCCAATCAAGCATGGGTAGAACCCGATCTAGTGGACGATTGTATGTAGCCTTCTCTCAATCAGGAAACACCCTTGCACGGGGAATTGGGTGAGGGACTCGCGGGATGATTTACGATCATGTTGTCACGATGTCAGCTTGGTGTTGACATGGGATCAGCCATGGCCACCGGCCGTTGTCTGGATGCTGGCAGCATCCAGGCAGGCTGGCAGACGAGGCAACCTGGGAAACCTTTGCTCTCACGTGGCGGGCGGTTAGGTTGGTTTATGGTTTGGTTCCCGCGGCGCACATTGATAGCGGTGGCAGAACCTTGTCTGCAGCTGAGGGCGGGTGGCTTCATCCGATTTGGGCCTGTCTCTTGTGATTAAAAAAGCAGCTTGCATCGGACAGGGAAGCTAAGGTGAGGGTCGAGTGCATGTCTGGGTGTTGGAGCATGTTAGTGTGGTAATAGTTGGGCGGAGCAGCGGAGTGATCCGACGAAGATTAGCTAGGCACGGGCTGGATCAATGCACGGCTTGGTTGAGGGCAAGCGACACGGGCGCTGACTGGTGAATTGCATCTGATGGCGCTTGGTTTGGATGTGACAGGGCCTGGCAGGAACTGTCTCTCTTTCCTCTAGGGCAATTCGAGACGTCTGCATTGTGCGCGTCTAGTCTTGTCATTGTCATGCTTCGTCGACGCACCCGCTGACACCGGCCTCCCAGTCGTTTATTGCTACGTGCTACGCGTTGGACTATGGGGGAGAATGGCCCTACCGGCACAGCAACAGAATGGCTTCGCAGCGCCGGGCTCCCCTGCGGAGAGCAAACGCGATTTCCTACCTCGGAGTGCAGGCGCAGACACGGCCAGGCGGCGTGCAGACGACTCGCGCCGCCTGCGGAGGGTGAAGGACTCCAAGGAGCAGTTGAAGAGGAGGACGACACGGGCGCGCGGCGCCAGCTACAGCACCATTGACACGACGGCGAGCAACACGTCGGCGGGTCGCTCCTACACGGTTGCCAATGTAAACAACGGCGTCATCTATCTAAGGTACGCACATGCACAGTTTTGGTCGAGGCCGAGAGAGGAGCGATGAAGCTTGTAGTTGCTGGTTGGTGGTGGGGAACGAGGACGAGGCTGGCACCGTCGCCATGTCGGCAAACAGGGAAGGAGCCATGGTGGCCAGGCCAGCAAGAGCAAACATGCAGCATGCATCATAGGAAGCAGCGACCGACCGCCCTCTGCCCACGCCCATGCCCACGCCCACAGAAAAGCCATTTGAGCAGCACGGCTAACACAAGCGTCACAGGCCAGTCGTCCGCCCGGGCAACCTGCGAGGACTTCCTCAGCCTGATCCCTTTGTGCTGCCCCCCCAGACACCACCCGACAGCGCAACCCTCGACAGTGTGCGCCCGGTGAGCGATGAGTGGGAACAGAGTCTGTATGGGTCGAGGACACCACGCTCTGAACCTACGCCGCCGCTGCCAGATGTGAATGAGCAGAGCGATGCCTTGCGCCTACATGCACATGCCCATCCATATCCACACCCACACCCACACTCACACTCACACCCTCACCCTCACCCTCACGGCCGCTCGCGCTCCTTTTCCACGGCCGAAGACCATCACCATCCCTCGTCCCCCACGGAGCCCGGCACCTTCAAGGTCGTCATCGAGCGGCCATCGCATGGCAGGCCCAAACGGCAGATACCTCATCGTTCCCGCTATTGCAGGTGCCCATCCCGCACTATCGCTTGGGCACGCCGCGTTTCAGCACACGGGGCACGGCCGACCTGCGCAGTTCCGTCTACACGCGAGCCTCGGGCGGCGGCGTCGACGACTTTGACAATTACCTGCTGACCCCACAGCGCGGCGCCCGACAGTCGTTCCTGTCGTCGCGCCCCCTCTCAGAGGCCTATTCGACAAGTCAACCATCGCGTGCGCGACACCATGGACCGGCCGACAATTGCCCTCTCCGGACACTCCTCAGCGCGCGTCTCACAGGCCCCAATTGGCCCCCGCCTCTATGATGCCCTCACTGCGAACCCAGACGACCGCGCCGTGGTGCGTTTCAATGTCCACGGTGACATGATCGCCGCTACACCCGCCCGCCTTGTCGCACATATCACCTCGCCCAGCTTCCTCGACTACGAACTGCTGTCAGACTTCTTCCTCACCTTCCGCGCCTTCTTGTGCACCCGCGACTTGATCGCATACCTCATTTCCCGCCTGCGATGGGCAGTCGAACGCCAGGACGACTTTGGGCGCATTGTGCGAGTGCGCACTTTTGTCGCCCTCCGCCATTGGATCCTCAACTACTTCGTCGACGACTTCATGCCATGCTACGCATTGCGCTGCAATTTCTGCCACCTCGTCAACAGCCTCTACACCGACCTACAAGCACGAGAAGATGGGGGCGGGGGAGATCTCAAGATTGTGGGCGAACTGAAAAAGTGCTGGCGGCGCACCTGTGCCTTGTATTGGGACACCGAAGACAGTTTTGCACAGAACTGCACAGACACCGAACTACTTCCAGGCGGGGAGGAAACGCAACCAGGACCAGTCGAGGAGCCCGTTCCCATCCTCCTCAGACCCACTACCCCGCCACGAAGCACCGTACGCGATACAAAAGAGACAATGGGGTCCAACCCGAGTGATCACTTTGCTAGTCGGCACATGGACTGGGCGCAAAGAGCACGCCACACGCCTCAAAACTCGATGAGCTCCCCATATGTGCCATCCCAAGAATATGAGAATGAGACGGGACATCAGGTACCGCTTTCGCCCGCAAGTACGCAGAGTATGCACGTGCTCTCCTGTTCAATACCCATGCGCAGTACAAATAAACAGGACAACGCAGTTGAACTCCCTCTATATCCGCACCCCGTCCCAGTCCCAGTCGCCAACCCAGCCCCGGCCAACACCGTTCGTCTAACATCCAGTCCGCAGCAGCCCTCCTCTCCGAAACGCAATCATCGTCCAACCCACAGCCACAGTTACACGCGCAGCGGAAGCTTCTCAGATGCTCTTCGAGACAGCAGAGCGCCGCTGTCCATTCACAAATCCACCCTAGCAGACTATGCCATGTCCGCGGTAGCTAACATGCCTGGAACTCTTGTACGCGGTGGTCTCATCCATCTCGGCTCCCCTTATTTCGAAGTCAAAACTCTGCGTCCCGTGCGGTCCCAGCATCTCCAGGAAC